GACTATAAATTAGGTCTGCATGTCCATTGAAATAACAAACTAATTAAATCATTTTTCTTTTTTAAAAAATTTATTATGTATATTAGTGTATTGTCTGCATGTGTGTAAATGCACCCATTTCGTCAGTCAGTGTGTCAGATCCCCAGGAACTGGAGTTACAGGCTGGTTGTCAGACACCATGTGGGTGCTGGAAACAGAACCTGGGTCCTCTCCAAAGCAGCCAGTGTTCTTAATCACTGAGCCATCTCTCCAGCCCCCATTTTTCTTTTCATTTTAGTTTTGTGTATTTGTGTGTGCACACATATGTGTATGGGTGCCTACAAAGACCAGAAGGTGGCATTGGATCTTCTGGAGTTTAAGTTACAGGCAATCGTGATCAAACCGATGTGGGTGCTGAGAATTGAACTCTGGTTCTCTGGAAGAGCAGCAAGTACTTTTACCATGGAGCTATGCCTCCAGCCCTTAAATCATTTTTCCTGATGAAAAGGCTCTAGAGTCAGACTGCTTCCAGTCCTAGAGACCCAGCTAGCTTCCTAACTGTACCTTTAGAGCAGGTTTCCTAACTTTCCCTAAATTGTTTAATTGTATAATGGACAGAGTAATAATAATGCCTCTGGTAGAGAGCTCACATCAGAATTATCAAGATGACCCTTTCAGTAGTTAGCACACTGAGTGGCATATAAGTGGTGGTTATTTTTTTAAAATATTTATTATTTTTATTTTATGTGTATTGAGTGTATTGCCTGCATGTATGTGAGTGCACCCATGTCGTGCAATGCCACGGAGGTCAGAAGAGGGCTTCAGATTCCCCAGAAACTGGAGTTAAGGACGGTTTGTAGCCGCCTGGGAATCGAACCCAGGTCCTTTGCAAGAGCAGTCAGGGCTCTTAACCGCTGAGCCGTCTCTCCAGCCCCAAGTGGTGGTTATTGTTATTGTATGCGAATTATTAGATGTAGGTGCCTGTATCTCTCAGGTATGTGCTTTATCAACCTGTGAGATTTGAGAAGCAGAGACCAAATTCAGACAGTGATACACATCTGTAATCCTAGCACTTGGGAGGCTAAGGCATGAGGATCCCATGTTTGAGGCCAGCCTGGGCTACACAGTAAGACCTGTCATAAAATAAAAACAAGTGAGAAGGTAGAAACCAGCTCATAGCTTTCTAGTAGTACCCCCATCACCTTGCAAGTCCTATATAACATTAATATAGGTCTACAATGAGATTTAAAATCATAAGCAAAATCTGGGACTAGATTAGGAAGAACCTTACTATCAGTTTCTCCAGGCCTGTCTCCCAATCTAATAATTGTTCCTTTATCCCCAGTGAGATATAGCAGTGGAAATTCTTAGTAGCTAACTACCCTCTGCAAGAACTGCTGATCCAACTGGGGGCTTGGAAAGTTGGCCAGAGGTCTGAGGCTATAGTGCATAAAAAATTCCAGGTGATCATGGCCGTTAGGAAGTTGTTGCTGATTTTCTTTGGCATTTCTGCCTACTGAGCACTGTGTGATTTATCTCATGTAATTTAAATCATGTAGCATATAATTTAGGATCTTCCTTCTTTGACTCTGTTCAAGATATGAGCAAGCTAGCATTTTTCTTATCAAAGAACCTACTATTGCTCTCTGAACTACTTATCCAGAACAAGCTGAAATAGTACCCATGCATCAAACAACTGTCTGGTGCCCTATAAAAATGCTTCGTAAGTTTTACCTTTTCAGTTTTTTTTTTTTTTTTTTTTTTTTTTTTTTGTTTTTTTGGTCTTTTTGAGACAGGGTCTCCTTGTAGCCCCAGCTGACCTGGAACTCAGTATGTAGACCAGGCTGGTCTCGAACTCACAAAGAACCACCTGCCTCTGCCTCCCAAGTGCTGGGATTAAAGGCACGCGCCACCACTCCTGGCTTAGTATTTTTTAACTCAACAGTTTGGTTTGGATGATTAAGAAAAAAGAATAAAATTTAATCTTGGTACATGTCAATTCCTATCTATGTATGATTAAAGTAAACTGCAGTGGGCAAATCTCCTTTCCCTACTGATTAGTGGGAGAATTGTATTTTAACTTGAACAATAGCTCATAGGTTGAAATTCAGAGCTTTGAAAAATGAAACTATTTTTGTTATTACAAGAAGTATTTGGAAATTTTGTATAAGGTCTAATAAATCTATAATTGAGAATCTATAATTTATGTAATTCACCTTGTATATGAAAATACAGATAAAAAGAGGTAGATATGGTGGCACAGGCAAAGTCAGGAGGAGCATGAATTTGAGGTTTTCCTGGTCTATTTAAACAGCCAGACTGTCTCCAAAACAGATAAAACAGTATATTATTTTTTTTATCTTAAAGAAAAAAAATTAAGCTCCCAATTCTATGTTTCTGCCTTTATTTTTTGTTGATTTTGAAACAGGGTCTCACAGTGTAATCCTGGCTGGCCTTGAACACCTGCTGCTCTACTTCCCAAGTACTGGAATTAAAGGTGTGCACCACCACACCTGGCTTTTTTGTGGGGATAGGGTGCTGCTAGGCATCGTTGAATCCAAGGGCCTGACATGTTACTAAGGAGCTACATCCCCAGTCCTCAGTTGTTTTTTGTTTGAGTAAAGATATGTTGGGAACTTCCCACATCATCCCAAGGAATTTTCCTAGATAAACTAGTCACAATTCACTCATCCTTCTCTCCTGGTCTTTGATGCTGAAAACTATAAAACAAAGAATGCTAAAGATAACCTACATCTTTTAGACTTGTTTTTTTATTTTTTTACCCCCTTGCTACCTTTTAACTTTCTGGCTGAGCAAGCTTCGCATTCTTTTAATATATATTTTTATTTTATGTGTATGAGTGTACTGCCTGCAGGTATGAGTGCACCCGTGTCGTGCAATGCCCCGGAAATCAGAAGGGGGTGTTGGATTCTCCTGGAACTCGAGTTAAGGACGGTTCATAGCCGCCATGTGGGTACTGGGACTCGGATCTAGGTCCTCTGCAAGAACAGTCAATGCTCTTAACCACTGAGCCATCTCCCCAGCCCCAAGCTTTGTATTCTAAACATGGTAGGGGGCATCTGAATCAAACAGAATGTTCAATGTTTCTTTTATTGCTATTTCTTGCTTTTGCTGAGACGTTTCCTCATCTGTGTCCAGCTGGGCAGCTCCCTCTTTGACGTGTCTTTGGTACACTTGGTTTTTCAAATTGTCAGTATGGTCCATGTACATCAGCAACTTCACACACACAACTGTATGATTTGTAAAAACGCTTGAAATTGGGCTTCTAAAATGACAGGCGATGCAGAGTATAAAGGAGAAAACAGTGCATGTTAAAGCACTATGTAAGCAAAAAATAAACAGCTTTGGAGGGGAGGAGGAATGACTTTGGAAAGAACCAGGCTAGAAGAGGAAACAATGTTCATTTAGGATAAGAAGGGCCATATCTAGGACCGAAGGACCAGGACCTCTAAGGGCACAAGAGCCTCTAAGGCTTTTAAAGTAACAAGGCACTTAGGTTGCTTTAGATTTGTATGTCCATTGTAAGAAATATTGTGCCTCTGTTTACCAAGGGCCACTTTCAGCTTATCAGTCACCTAAATCATGCGCTGGAACTGGATTTACAAATATGACAAGAGCACAGTTCCTGACTTTAAGTACTCCTAGTTTTTATTTTTAATTTTATTATTTTCATGTGTATACGGGTATTGCCTGCGTGTAGGGTAAGTGCGCCCGTGTCGTGTAATGCCTACGGAGGACAGAAGACGCTGTCGGATCTCCTGGAACTGGAGTTAAGGTTGTTAGCGGCCATGTGGGTTCTGGGATTCAAACCCAGGTCTTCTGCAAGAACAGTGTTCTTAATCGCTCAGCCATCTCTCCAGCCCCAGTACTCCTAGTTTTAAAAAGAGAACATCTTGCGCTAGGCACACAAGGTCTCGTTGCAAATAGAAGCCACTAAAACCTTACAAGAGTACGGGAGGGCCTCAAAGAGGAACTGAGTTGGGGGCCTGGCACAAACAATTCTGATAGGGTTTCCGTAACTTTGGAAAATAAAGTGAAATAGATCACCCACAAGAGCAAGAATTGGGACCAGGGAGAGGTTTTACATGAAAACGTGACTAGACATGTAGGCAGTAAAGAAGGGTCTGGGTTACAGATAAATTATTAAACCCAGGTGTGCAGGGAGTGTCTCCTACACTCGCACCTCGCCAACCTCAATGCTGACAGCTGTTCTCCACTAGTGGCCTAGAGTCACACTTTGTGTTCCCCTTGGGTCACACTTTGCACAAAACACCGGGAAGGGCTCGTTTCCCGGCTCTCAAGCCTCTTCTCCCATCCTTACAGTTCTAGGGCTGAGTGGAGCAGGTCTGCGGGATTCTGGAGGTTTCTAAAAGAAGAAAAGCATTTAAATTAGCGGGAGGGCGGTTAACACCCACAACCCCGACCCCAACGTCCGGTCCGCCCAGATTCACAGAGCTAGGGCACAAGAGCGCCAACCGGCGCAGGATCGCAACCGTTGCATGGCCGCGCGCAGCGGGCGTTAGGCTGCCAGGACTAGGCGGCGGGTTAAGGGAGCGAGGCCAGGCCCGGCTCAGGCTGGATTTTGACGAACAGCTCTCCCAGCTAATGAGAGGTCCGCTCGACTTTTTTTCTACCAATAGGAAGCGGGACCTTGGCTGAGGGGCGGGGGCGCCATCCCGCGAGCTGCGGCTGGATTCGCGCCCGCCAGGCGGCAGGCTAGGCGGGGCGGAGGCTCGGCCTGGGCGGCGGGGAGCGGATTAAGGAGGAGGGAAGACCGGAAGCCACGGCCGCGGCCTCATCCTTCCATTCGCGTCGCCCCCGGGGCTGGAGCCGAAACGCTGGAGGACGGAGAGGCTGTCGGCCGGCAGGGCGAGAAAGGGAAGCGTCCCCTCAGCCCACGCTCTCTCCTCAGCCACCTGGAGCGCGCCGACGCGGACGCCCAGGCCCCGCAGACCTGCGCTGACCAGGCGCAGCCGGCGGCGGGGGCCGAGCGGCGACATCTGAGGCCCGTATCCCAAGCCACCTCAAGCGCCGCCATGTCCTCCACCTCCTCCTCTCCTAAGGAGGAGACGTACGAGGAGGACCGCGAGTTCGAGAGCCAGGCCAAGCGCCTCAAGACCGAGGAGGGAGAGATCGTCTACTCGGCAGAGGAGAGCGAGAACCGCCAGGAAGCGATGCCCCAAGCCGGGAGCGACAGCGACGGTGGCGGCGGCGACGGCGAAGAAGGCGGCGAAGGCGACGGCGGAGAAGGGGGCAGCGGCGGCGGCGAGGAAGGCGACGGCGGGGAGGGCGAGGGCGAGGAGGGTGACGGCGAGGAAGGCGAAGGCCAGGAGGGCGACGGCGAAGAGGGCGACGGCGAGGAGGGCGACGGCGAGGAAGGCGACGGCGAGGAGGACGACGGCGAGGAAGGCGGTAGCGGCGGCGCTCGGAGCGGCCCGCAGCCAACGGTAACAAAGCGGCCGCGTCCTGCAGCATCCGGGGCTCTGGCCCGGCTCCCGCCCGCCGCCGTGCCTTTTCCGCTGCGCGGATGCGGCCGGGAAGCCTCGGGCTCGTGTCTCTGGGCTTCAGATTTCCAGGCTTAGGCCTCGCGGGCCTGAATTTAGGGAGGGTCGTGGGTCGGGGGCGGGCGGGGGCGTTTCCGCCCGGGTTGGCCGCGGCGCGCGCCCTCGGCGAGCAGCTCTTTGTTAGGTGAACTTGGCGTGGAGCCTGTGGTGCGACCCCAGCTCCTTTCCGCTGGTCCTGGCAGCATCCCCGCCGCTGGGCACCATCCTAGGCAGGCTCTCCGCGCCTTATCCCCTGCAGAGCCGGGACTGAAGGATGAATAGATGCCCCAACGTTCCCATGCCTTAGTTCCCGGGACCACTGTCTTAACTTCGTTTCTTTTTTCTTTTCTTTTTTTTTTTTTTTTTGAGATAAAGTCTCACTATGTAGCCCCAGGTGGCCTGGAACTCCTTACGTAGAACAGGCTGGCCTCCTCCAGTGCTGGGATTAGAGGCGTGCGGTACCATACACTGCAACTTTATTTTCGTTTTTTTTGAGATAGGGTCTCACTGTAACCCTGGCTGGTCTGGAGCTCCCTATGTAGAACAGGCTGGCCTTATGGCCTTGATCTTACAGAGATCCGCCTGCATCTGCCTCCAGAGCACTGGGATTAAAGGCGTATGCCACACAAACGGCAACATTAAAAAAAATAAAAAGAAATTTTGCAGGCATAGAGTGCATGCTGGGCTACCATTGTGACGGTGGCTCGTTGCCACCTCTTCTGTTATAAAAATTGGTTGGCAGGTACACCCTACTTTCAAGTAAAACATCTTACAATTATCTGAATTCTTCATTGGTAGATTACTCCAAATTGGTCCCCAGGGTAGGAGGAACTGAATTTAGATTCACATTCCTTGAATCTGCATTTATCAGAAGTGTTAGATGGAGGCGGGAGGAATGTGAAAAGCACTACCTACTGCAAGCGTTCAGCTTCATTTCCTTGGAGAGTTTGAAGAAACAAAGCGATCTAAATGGTTTTGCCCTTTCTTGGTGCACTTAAACTGGAGACTTAGATATGCTTTAAACATTTAATATTTTGAATTGTGATTAATTCAGCAAACCGAGGTTTCCGAAGTTGTACAGATGTATTATTATTATTATTATTATTATTTTGGTCTTCTTGAGACAGGGCCTCCCTGTAACCTCAGCTGGCCTGGAACTCACTATGTAGACCAGGCTGGACTTGAACTCAGAGATCGACCTGCTTCTGCCTCCCCAGTCCTGGGATTAAAGGCCTGTGCCATCACGCCTCGGCAGTTTTAATTATTTTTTAATTACATGTGTATGTGCAAGTACCTTGAAGGCCTGAGGCTCGGATCCCCTAAAGGTGGAATTAAAGGCAGTTTTGAGCCACCCTCCCTGGGATGCTGGGAATGGAACTCTTTAAGAGCAGTACTCTGGGCTCTTAACTGCTGAGCCGTCTCTTTGGCCTCCGTTTGAATTAAAATTTTTTTGAGTTACAACTATTTGTGTGCACATGGGCCGGTCTGGAGGTTAGAAGATAACTTGGGGGTTGGGTCTGGCCTTCCACAGACTGTCTTTGGAGATTGAATTTGAGGTGGTCTCTGGAGAGTGAACTTAGGTTTAGAAGGAAGTGCCTTTACTTGCTGAGGCATCTGGCTGGCTCACTTTGATTTTGTTGTTTTGTTTGTTTATTTACTTATTTTGAGACGGGATCTCACTATGTAGACCTGACTGGCCTGGAACGCAATAGGTCGATCAGGGTGGCCTCTATTCCTGAGTGGTGGGATCAAAGGTGTGCACCACTGCACTTGGCTCCACTTTGAATTTTAATGTAAAAAATTCTGATCAGTAGGCTTCAATGTTTTCACATATGGAAATGTGATGTGTAAAGTGTGTGTTTTGGAAAGATGCTAAAAAATTAGTTGGTTACAAATTTCAAAAATAGGAGCATTTTTGAATGTAGAAAGGAAACAATGATATCAATGAATTATACGAAACAGTAGAAATGGCACTAGGCAAGGGCTTGAGGCAGGTCAGGTGTATAGCCCTTAGCATATAATTTATGTGACCTTGAGAAAGGTAACTGCTGCTCTTGAGTTGAACTGTATAGTCCTTTCCTTACTTGAAGTGGTAGTTAACTAATACAGCTTTTAATGACCAGGGTAGACTGAGTTAAAAATTCAAGTTTCTGTTTATCTTACTGCTGTTTGATTTTAGGAAATAGTGAGGTGCTTTTATTTAACCCTAGAGCTAAGGCTCTAGCTGTCAGTGGTGGTGTACTTACGTGCAAGATTGTTTTTGAGTACCAGCACCCCCCATAAATTAATTTGTAAATGTAACACTACAACTTATAATGATCTTATGATGGGAAGTTTAACAAAGACTTATTTTTCCTTTTTGAAATGTGATTTCTTTTTCTCCCTATAATTTTCAGTACTATTTTGAAATCATTGCAACTGTGGAAACGTGTACATAATAAAATTCTGTTAAGATAGACACTCCCTAAATAGAAGCTTACTGTCTAGGGCTTTATCATGTCAAAATATGGTTATTCATTTAACTGAAGAGTTTGGTCCAACCTCAGTGGTTCTCAGCCTATAGAAAAAATGCATTTGTGGTCAAACTGTTAGAGTAAATGCAGATTTAGGTGCAGTGAAGTGCGATTCAACTGTAGTTGGAAATTTGTGAGAAAAAAAAAGGAAGACTTAAAGGATTTACATTGCTGGACTTTTCATGATTTTCTGTGTGATTTGATAAGTTTAAAGGGGAAAGTAAGAAAAAAACATCTAAAGTGGGAATTGATCATTGTGAATGGTCTTGATGTTTGAAGGTAAAAAGAGGTAGGACATGGTATATGCCTAGGATCCCAGTACTTTGGAGGCAGAGGTGGGATTGCTGCAAGGCCAGCTTGAGCTATATAGTGAGTTCCAGGCCAGCCTAGGCTACATGATAAGACCATGGGGGGAGGAGGGAAGGGAGAAGGGAGAGATTGTTTGGATAGGAGAAATAAAACACCCTTCTGATGCTAGTACTTTTCATAGAATAAAAACTCCCAGAGTTTCAGATTCACAGAATTTCACTGTTGAACAAAGCTTCACTACGGAGGTTCATGTCAAGTATTATTTTATTCTTGTGGTGCAGATAGCTTGTTGCCCCCTCCTGCCTCCAGGGTGTCACTATTTAACCCTACTGGCCTTGAATTCTACATGTAGAATGCTGGCCTTGAAGAGGTCCACCTGCTTTTATCTCCTAAGTAAGTGCTGGGACTAAAGGCATGTGCCACCATACCAGGCATAAATAGCATTCTTAAATTTTGCAAGCATGACCTTTAAGGTTAGAATAGTTTTTGTAGCCTTTCAGTTTAAGAAAGGAACTAGATCTTCAAGTATCCTAATACTTGCCAAAACCAATTGAGGAATAAATTGGGATGGACTGCTAATTTAGTTTGGACATCGGGTTTTTCAAGTATTGTATTCTGTTAATGGGAAATGGGCGAATTGAAGATTGATAGCCTAGTATAGTCCCAGCTACTCAGGAGGTTAACTTGAGCCTAGGACAGTAAGACCAGGCTGGGCAATATGTTAAAACTATGTCTTAAGCCAGGTATGGTGGCACATACCTAGAATCCCAGCTGATCTGGAGACTTGGTTGATGACATAGGAAGTAGTTGATCTTGTGTCTTTTTAGGTTTTTACTTCTGCTTTCCTCAATGAAATAGTAAAGGGTTTAGTGAGGCTTTGTTTTGTTTGATGAGACAGTCTCATTATATATAGGCTAGGCTGGCCTTTAATTCTAATTTACAGAGATCACCTGCTTCTTTCTACCTCCCAAGTACTAGGATTAAAGGTGTGCACCACTATGCTTTTATTAGGCTTTGAGAGAATTTTACTGTATTTACTAAGCTCACCTTAAACTCCAGTGATGAGTGCTCTTGCCTTAGCTTTCCAAGTGCTGGGATATAGGCATAGGACACCATATCTAGCCAAAGCCTTGGATTCATATAGCTGGTGAATAAAGAAAGCACCCCTTCTCTCTAAATATTCATTTGTCCTCTTAAGGACATCTTTTGAGGGGGGTGCGGGGAGTAAGTGTGTGTAGAGGCCAGAGGTCGATACTGGGTGTCTTTCCCAATCCATTTTGTTTTTTGAGCTAGTCGCTCAGTAAACCTGGAACTCACTGATTGACCTAGATTGGCTGGCCACCAAGCTCTAGGGAACCTCCTGTCTCTACCTCCCTGCTGCTGAGATTACAGGCACATGCTACTGCACCCAGTTTTTATGTGGGTGCTGGGGATTGAACTCAGTTTCTCATGCTTGAATAAGCAAGCACTTTACTGGCTGGAAGCAATTTCCTTACCTATCAATCAATCATTTGTGATTTTCCTCCACCCTTCCCAACTCTGGACTCCATTTGAGGTTAAAGATTAATTGAAAATATCAGTGGAATAATATGGAATTGAGTTTATTTCATTTCATTTGTTTGCTTTGTTTTTTAAGACATCGTCTTTGTACCCTAGGGTGGCCAAAAACTCACTATCTGCCCAAGCTGGCTTTGAACTTATGACTTGGTCTCCTGAGTTGAAGCTAGTCTTCTAAAATTATGCAACTATAAGCTGGGTATGGTAGTGCACACCTTTAATCCCAGCACTTGGGAGGTAGAGTTGGGTGGATCTCTGTGAGTTCAAGGCCAGCCTGATCTACATAGTTTCAGGCCAGCTGGGGCTACAGGGAGACTCTGTCTCAAAAAGACCAAAATAAATTAATTAATTAAAATTATGTAATTATAGAAAGGCTGAAAAAAGTTGTTCAATTGTTGAGTGTGTGTTGTGCGTAGAGATGAAGGGAAAAAAGAAAGCTTTGACCTGGCCTACAAATAATTTAGTCCTTTCCTAAGAATCGGTGTTAAAGAGACTTATTTCTTTCAGAAGCTTCATTTTTACTGTATTGGGCTTCTCTTTAGTAGTGTCTGGTCCACAATCTATAGTAGTCAAAATTTGCATTTACGATTGGGATTAGTAGAATTTTTTTTTTTTAATGTGTACGAGTATATTGCCTGTATGTATGTGAAAGTACCCATGTCGTGCAGTGCTGCGGAGGCCAGAAAAGGGTTTCAGATTCCCCTGGAACTGGAGTTAAGGATGGTTCGTAGCTGCCATGTGGGTGCTGAGAATCAAACCTGGGTCCTCTGTAAGAGTAGTCAGTGAGTGCCCTTAACCTCTGAGCCATCTCTCCAGCCCCCTGAGCATTCATTATTGTTTGACCCAATTTACCTAAAGAATGGGTTGCAAATTTTTAAAAAGTATATATACATTGCAAGAATGCTTTCATTTGCTGAGCGTGCATCTGGAATATTGCTTCTAGGCTGATAAATACTAGATATAGTAGACCAGGAGAGAACCTAGATACCTAAACATTTGAGTTGGGAATGCTTATATACAGTGGAGAAAATGAAAGTATTAGTATGTATATAGTCTGGCCTTGAACTATGGTTCTGCCGAGTGCTGAGATTACAGGTGTTTGCCACCACATCTAGTTTAATATAGTGTATTGGTAGGGATAATCAATACCGATTTAGCCACCAGATTAGAAATCAGTAGCATCAGATGATGTTTGAAAGGAATTTGAGGGATGGGGATGTAGCTCAAGTGGCAGAGAACTTGCCTAGCTTTTGAGAGGCTGTGGGTTCTTCCCTAGCACAACTACATACATATATACATATTTATTTCAAGTTTATTACATTTATTGAACTGATCACATACAAACTACACATTAATGGGACACTTTGTTAATTTAAAACATGAACATATACAATGTTTACACCAGGTTACATTTCTCTCCTTCTTAAACATGCATCATATCTTTATGATAAAAATGTCCCAAAGGCTTTCCTACAGCTTTTAGAAATAGAAACACCCCACTTTGTAATAGCATACCAGTACTTCATACCCAGGACCCATTCAATCTCTTACTTATATTAAGAACCAATTTTAGGGCCTGTGAAATGGCTCATTGAGTAAAAGCACTTGCCCTGAAATTCAGCCTGACCTGAATTTGATCCCCAGGACCTATGGTGATAGGAAAACTGAATCCTGAATGTTATGTTCTGATCAACCTCTACACTCAGAACCATAGTCACACACATAATAATAAAGTTTGGGTGGGGGGAACCTCCCACAAAATCTAGTGTAGCATACTGGGATTTGCTTATAATCCCAGCTATTTAGGAAGCAAAGGGATATATATATAATTGTGTGAGTATGTACGCGTGGTTTTCTCCTGCCATGTGCGTTCAGGATGTTGAACTTGATCATTAGCCCTGAAGTGAAATGCTGTTCCCCATTGAGCCATCTTGCTGGCCTCAAGAACACTTTTTTTTTTTTTTTGGTCTTTTTGAGACAAGGTCTCCTTGTAGCCCCAGCTGTCCTGGAACTCCCTGTGTAGAACAGGCTGGCCTCGAATGCACAAAGATCCACCTGCCTCTGCCTCCCAGGTGCTGGGATTAAAGGTGTGCACCACCACACCTGGCTCAAGAACATTTTTAAAGGTCAGGTGTGCTGGTGCGTGCTTGAGGCAGAGGCAGGAGGATCTCTATGAGTTTGAGGCTAGCCTGGTCTACATTCCAGGCCAGCTGGGGCTACAGGGAGACCCTGTCTCAGAAAGACCGAAAAAAAAAAAAAAAAAAAAAATTTCAGACCAAACAAATGATGATTTGATTTTCAAATCCTTTTGCAATTTGATTTTGTACTGTTTATGTTTGCTTTATAATACAAAATTTTCTTTAAAAGATACAATTTAGACCTTTAAAGTTAATTGGAAATTGTTTTCTCTTTCCTAGGAGGGAGGTGGAAGTCATCATAAAGTTTCTGTTTCACCTGTGGTCCATGTTCGAGGACTCTGTGAATCTGTGGTGGAAGCAGATCTTGTGGAAGCACTGGAAAAATTTGGGACAATATGGTAAGGACAACGGGGACTTAATTGAAAATAATATAGTAGGGTAAGGCTTCCTTAATTGCTTCAAGTGTTGCTATTTAACATCGTATATATTGTTTTCCTGTGTATGTATTTCTATGGACCCCCCCCCCACACACACACATATTTTGAGACAGGGTCTTACTGTGTAGGGCAGGCTTGGAGCTGTCTCAGTCTGTTGCATGCTAGGATTATGTGCGTCTGTTGTCTTTGGAAACTTTTTTTTTTTTTTTTTTTTTTTTTTACTTTTTGAGATAGGGTCTCCCAGCTGGCCTGGAACTCTATGTAGACCAGGCTGGCCTCGCTCTGCCTCCCAAGTGCTGAGATTAAAGGCATGTGCCACTATGCCCAGCATCTTTGGAAACTTTTAAACTCTTTTAAACTTGTTAATTATGTTTTTATTATGTTCTGCTACTGGAAATTAAACTTGGGCTCTTGCATATACTGCACATCTAGGCAGGCCCTCTGCCACTGAGCCTTAAGGTTTTTTTTTTTTATATTCCTAGTGTATGATACATTGTATTTCTTTTGATTATTTTGATATATAATCACCTGCCATTCAGCAAGGTTATAGGTTAAAATTTTAAATGAAAACATAATTAGAAAAGTAAACCTACTGCCAAAAATAGACACTATTTTTTCTTCACAGCACAGATAATCTAAAATTGATTTTATGTTTTCCCTTCCTCCTTTCCCTCCTTCCCTCTGATCCTTCCTTCCTTTTTTTTTTTTTTTTTTTTTTGACATAGTATGTCATTATATAGCTTTGGTTGGCCTGGAACTTATTATGTAGGCCATAGACCAGGTTAGCTGAAACTTGCAGTGACCTTTTTTTAGTGTTGGGATTACAGGTGTGTGCAGTCATGCTTGGCTGATTTTTATCTTTATATGTGATATGTTTGGAGGGTGGTTATAGGCATCTAAGGCATAGACCGAGTTAAAATATATAAAAAGAGAAAAAGTGAATTTTCTAATACAATCTGGTTATTTCAGTTCTACAAAAGGTCTAATGCAGGGCCAGAGAGGTGACAGTTAGCACTGATTGCTCTTGCAGAGGATCCAGGTTTGGTTCCCAGGATCGACATGGTGGCTAACAACTGTCCTGATCTCCAGTTCCAGAGGACAAGTGTCTTCTTCTGACCTCCATGGGCATTTTATGCATGAGTGCATTTACATGCATACAAAACACACATAAAACAAAAATAAAAATTTTAAAAGTTGTGAGCATGATTGGCACATGCAGTCCTAGTGTTTGCTCCAAATTTGAGCCTGGTAGTGAGTCTACATAGTCAGCCAGAACTTCATAATGAGACCGTGTCTCAAAAAAACAAAAGGAGCTCTGTGGTTAAGAGCACTAGCTGCTCTTTCAGAGGACCCAGGTTTGATTACCAGCACCTACATGCTGGCTAACAACCATTTATTACTCTCATTCCAGGCGCTCTGGTGCTCTCTTCTGGCCTCCAAAGGCATTTCACAAGACAGGTGTATTTGCTTATACATACAGGCAAAACAGTCATACACATAAAATAAAAATAAATGTTTATAAAAGCACCACACAAAAAAGATTTTTTAAGAATTGTACACTTGGTGATTAAAGCAGATGCTGAAATACAGGTGACATTTATATTCTTGCCTTCTTGGGGGCTGAAGAGAAGGTTTAGTGGTTAAGAGCACTGTTCTTGGAGAAGACCTGGGTTTGAATCACAGCACCCATGTGGCGGCTAACAACCCACCTGTAACTCCAGTTCCAGGGGATCTGACGCCCTCTTCTCTCCTCCTTGGGCATTGCACGATGTGGTGCACATACACATATGCAGACATAACAGTCATAAGTAAAAAAAAAAACTCACCTTTGTCTTCATGTGAAGTCACTTTTCAGGGTAATCTTTTAGAAACTTTGAGTTTGCTTCTAGTTCATGTCTTATTTTGTCTAGAGAATAATAGGCCAGCAAATGACTTGTTTTTGTACCTTTATAATTTTTTCCGTGTTTCCAGAGCTGGGTTTCTGTTTTTTGTTGGTGGCGTTCTTTTGGAGGGAAGGGAAAGTCTCATTAGTCTTGGCTGGCCTGGAATTTTATGACTCCACTTTCTGCCTTCTGAGTGCTGGGATTGAAGGCATGCACCACTACACCTACCTTTCCAGAGGGTACTTTCAACAGATTTACTTGACAACACAGCTTATGTAATAAATTCTTCATTTGTGAGAAAGAATATTTTGTTTGTTTTGGTCTTTTTGAGAAAGGGTCTCTATAGTCCCAGCTGACTTGGAACTCACTATGCAGACCAGGCTGGCCTTGAACTCACACAGATCCACCTGCCTCTGCCTCCTCAGTGCTGGGATTATAAAGATGTGCGCCACTACGCCCAGCTAGAACTTTTATTCTTGAAATTCTTTTAAATCATAGATTTGATTCCAGGGTCTTTTTTTTTTTCTTTTTTTTTTTTTTTTTTAATGTGTACGCGTGTATTGCCTGCATGTAGGTAAGTGTACCCCTGTTGTGCAATGCCGGAGGGGTCAAAAGAGGCTGTCGGATCCCCTTGGACTGGAGTTAACGGACACTTGTTAGCTGCCATGTGGATGCTGGGATTTAAACCCAAGTCTTCTGCAAGAACAATCAAGAGACTGTCGGATCTTGTGGGACTGGAGTTATGGACACTTGTTAGCTGCCATGTAGATGCTGGGATTTGAACCCAGGTCTGCAAGAACAATCAGTGTTCTTAACAGCTGAGCCATCTCTCCAGCCCTCAGTTCCAGGGTCTTATACTTACAGTTACTATATCTTTAAATCCATGACCTTACTATTTCACTGTTTACCACTTTAATTTTGAATGATATGGGTAGGGATAGATAAACAGCCTCCTAGGTAAATCATATTGATTACCTGTTATGTGCTGGGCTCATTTATAAAGTATTTTGGAACAAGTTATTTATATGAACTTTAAGATAAATATATATATAT